CTTACCTTGAGAACACTCATAGCAGAAGTGAGCTGGGTTGGTGGTGGGCTTATTTACAGTCAATAGAAGTAACTAAATCAGTGATTCCCAAGGGCCTAAAGCCGATACTAGAAAAATTCCAGGCAGTGTTTGGAGACAGCATTCAGCTACCTCCTGAGAGGAGTCAGGTGCATCGGATTAAACTTTATCCGGACCATGGTGCTATTAATGTCAGACCCTACAGGTATCCTCACCACCAAAAAGAAGAGATTGAGAAGCAAGTGTCAGAACTGTTGAGAGCAGGAGTCATTCGTCCAAGTATGAGTTCTTTTTCAAGCCCTGTGATACTAGTCAAGAAGAAAGATAAGAGCTGGCGAATGTGTGTAGATTATCGGTCCTTAAATAAAGCTACAATACCAGATAAGTACCCAATTCCTATAGTCGATGAGCTGTTAGATGAATTATATGGAGCTACTATGTTTTCTAAAATTGATCTAAAATCTGGATATCATCAAATCAGAGTGCATGAGGATGACATCCCTAAAACGGCATTTAGAACACATAATGGCCACTATGAGTATTTGGTCATGCCGTTTGGACTGATGAATGCCCCGGCTACCTTCCAAGCTACCATGAATGACATTTTTAGACCATATTTGAGAAAGTTTGTCTTGGTGTTTTTTGACGATATTTTGATTTACAGTAGAGATATCAAGGAACACCAAAGGCATTTGAAGATGGTTTTGTCGGTTTTAGTGGATCATTGTTTTATGGCAAACCAAGCAAAGTGTAGGTTTGGGTGCGCACAAATTGATTACCTTGGCCATATCATTTCTGGTGAGGGTGTGGCAGTGGACCCTGAGAAGGTGAAGTGTATTCTTGCGTGGCCTACGCCAAAGAACGTGAAGGGGGTACGTGGTTTTTTGGGACTCACAGGGTATTATAGAAAGTTCATCCGGGATTATGGTAAAATAGCAAAACCTCTCACTGACTTGACTAAGAAAGACAATTTTTCTTGGGGAATAGAAGCTGCCAAGGCTTTTGAGGAAATGAAGAGGATCATGACTTCTCCTCCTGTGCTAATCCTTCCAAATTTCGAGTTACCCTTTGAGGTTGAGTGTGATGCGGCTGGCAGGGGTATAAGGGCTGTTCTAATGCAGCAGAGGCAACCTATTGCTTTCTTCAGTAAAGCTTTATCTGATGGGAATCTGGCAAAATCTGTTTATGAGAAGGAACTAATGGCCCTTGTGCTGTGTATTCAGCATTGGAGACATTATTTATTGGGCAAAGAATTTATTGTGCATACAGATCATAAGAGCTTGAAACATTTTTTGCAGCAGAGAATTTCATCTCCAGATCAGCAGTGCTGGTTGGCCAAACTTCTAGGTTATCAATTTGAAGTTAAGTACAAGCCTGGCCTAGAAAATAGAGCCGCTGATGCTCTGTCTAGATGTCATGGTGAAATAGAAATGAATTCTATCATTTCTTTTCCTTTGTGGGCTGATAGACAGAAACTTTTGACTGAAATAAATAATGACCCGTACATTCAAAGGTTAATGAAAGAAGTGCAGGAGTCTCCTGAGCTTAGACCTGGGTTTCAGGTGCAACAAGGAGTTTTACTTTATCATGGCAGGCTGGTGATTTCCCCCGAATCACCCTCTATCCCTTGGCTATTGGAAGAATTTCACAATACTCCTGCTGGAGGGCACTCAGGTTTTCTAAGAACATACCGCAGACTGGCAGATTCCTTATATTGGGTGGGAATGCAGAGGAGTGTAAGGGATTATGTCAGATCCTATGATGTTTGTCAGAGACAAAAGTACAGTGCTACGACTCCTGGTGGTTTGTTACAGCCTTTACCTATTCCTAATGGTGTGTGGGAGGACTTGTCCTTAGACTTTATCACTGGGTTGCCTAAGTCTAAAGGTTATGAGGCTGTGTTAGTGGTAGTGGATAGACTATCCAAGTATAGTCATTTTGTTTTACTCAAACATCCGTATACTGCTAAGTCCATTGCTGAACTCTTTGTCAAAGAAGTGGTGAGACTTCATGGAATTCCAAGCTCTATAATTAGTGATCGTGATCCTTTATTTGTGAGTCATTTCTGGATGGAGTTGTTCAAGTTGCAGGGAACGAAACTGAAAATGAGTTCAGCATACCACCCGGAAACAGATGGTCAAACGGAAGTGGTTAACAGGTGCTTGGAAAGTTATTTGCGGTGTTTTGCTTCTGATCATCCAAAGACTTGGTCATTGTGGGTCTCGTGGGCGGAGTATTGGTACAACACGACCTTTCATGTATCTATTGGGAAGACTCCGTTCGAGGTAGTTTATGGGAGACAACCTCCTGCATTGCTGAGATTTCTGTCTAATGAGACGAAAGTAGCTGCCGTGGCATTGGAATTGAGTGAAAGAGATGAGGCTCTAAACCAACTCAAACTTCATTTGCTCAAGGCGCAGGAACAAATGTCAAGGTATGCTAACATGAAGAGGAGGGACTTGTGTTTTGAAGTTGGTGAATGGGTTTTTCTGAAACTCAGACCTCATAGACAACAGTCAGTGGTGAAAAGGATTCATCAGAAACTCGCTGCAAGATTTTATGGACCGTTCCAAGTGGCAGAAAAAATTGGTGAAGTGGCTTACAGGTTGAAACTGCCAGCAACATCTAAGATTCACCCAATCTTTCATGTTTCATTACTCAAGAAAGCTGTTGGGAACTATCAGGTACAGGGAGAGTTACCAAAAGATTTGGAGGTGATCGAGGAGAATGATGTATATCCTGATAAGGTGCTGGGTTCAAGAGTCACAGTGCAGGGAGGTAATGAAGTTCAGCAGTCCTTGATACAATGGAAAAACAAAGCTTTAGAGGATGTGACATGGGAGGATAACGAATTTTTGCGTGTTCAATTTCCTGAATTCTGCCTTGAGGACAAGGCATTGTCTAAGGAGGCGGGAGTTGATAGAAATGTGATTAGAGAAGTGGGACCTAGGCCAAGGGTGTGGAGAGTTTACGCGAGGAAGAAAACAAAAGGAATTAAAGATGATGACGTGGCTGTGAATGAATTAAGGGCATGAGAGTGGCTATATATAGCTACAGCTGGAAGGGAATATTCAGGACATAATTCTGTTAGGATTTGGTGGGGTCACTTTTGGTGATTTGGGAGCACTCTGTGCTTGGGAATTGGTAGCCACTACCAGTTTGTTATTTTCTTTTTCTTCATTCCCATTTTCCTATAGTTGTGGATCTGATAGTAATACAATTACAGTTTCTTATCACACTGTTTTATCCATTTCTTTACTAATTTGTGCTTTAAGACCCATCAAAATCATTTCTATTAACAGAAAGTGAGAAATAAAAAAGGAAGAATGGAGTTTGTATTTTATTCTGACAGCTCCATGCTCTGAATTTTAAGTAATGGCTATATTTTTTGTACAAACTTTTGAAGCTGTACAAAATAATATAAAGTAATAATACATAGTCTAAAGATATACTATACTAGTATAACTGTAGAAAGAGAGAGAATGAGTAGATTGAGAGGAGGAAACATGCGAACACTATAACTGGATACACTACAATGTGTAGTGACCCTCATTTGTATTACTAAAATTAATAGATTAGCACATAAAAAAGACATGTAGATCGAGCCTATATAGTCAAGAAGACTAAACTCTAGTACTTAATATAATAACTCTTAGCAATAACATAAACAGAAAATCTAACAGACCTATCCCTACATTTCTAACAATAGCCAAGGGAAAACCGTTGCCAGCTACATTGCTATGTTCCCCATGAACCATAATAGTATTAGGAAATCAATTGTATGCTTTCTTCTGTTATTTTGAACTAATTTTCTGAATTAATAAATCAGTTTATTTCCTTTTAACTTTTTCTGGTCTTATTACTTCCTTTCTTGTTTTCTATGTTCCTTAATGCTAGAATTTCTTGGTTTATTTATATTTAATATATAGTGATGAAAATTTGTGGGTAAGTTGATTGGACTACTGAGTTTTGACATCGCAAAACTTGGTTTGAGCCTGAGCTTAGATTCTTAAGCTACCCTTACTCATGACATACTTTCAAGATCCACTGTGAATCATCAGTGAATGTCTCCATATAAGTTCCCTTTTCTGTTTGTGGTTACAAGAAGGATTTGCATAAGACTGCACATAATAAACTGATATCCATCTAATGTCTTTTCTAATAAGGATTTGTATAAGACTGCACATAATAAACTGATATCCATCTAATGTCTTCTCTATTGCAAGTCTCTGGTACATATATATGTTGATCAAGGTTTGACCGCCGCTGGAGTCCAGATTTAAAGCTATTTTCGTTCCTTCCAAATTAGCTCCATAAATACCTAATTAGTGCCATAACATTATCACCAATTTGTTCCTCCAATACACAGAAGTGCAAATTTTCTCCTCTGTATGGATGAATCTCTGGTAATAAATGTGCTTCTTTGAGAGATTAATTGGATGAAAATTTCTTGGGAGTAATAATATGATGAAACTAAAACTTTTGTGGAACTAATTTTTTGTCAAAAACTTTAGAGGATTAATGTGCTCCTTGATCAAGTCATAATCCAAATTCATAAATAGGTCATCTGTTTTCTGCTTGCATATAGAACAATATAAAAACTACAGGAAACCGATTTAAGTTATAAGTACCTTCTGGTGGAAAGCTAGCTTTAAGCGATTGTATTCTCTGAAAATGAGAAAAAGAAAAACAGATACCCTGGCTCCTAGTCTGCTCATCCTCATTATGATACTGATAGATATAGAAATATATTATGTTTTGGGTACCTTCTGTCTGATGTTCTCTACACTTGATTTGTTAACTTAAATCATGTAGCCGCGCACATGATAGCACATAATATTATAGTGTTGGAGAATATCCTACTACTACCTTATCTGCATGATGTCGAATTACTCTCATGCTTGTTTGTTATTAAATTTGTCTTTCTTCTGCGGTGGATTTGGCATTTGCAGACAGTGTTTGTTGAAAAAGAGCATCTAGCTATGTCTAACACTACAAAGGTTTTGGATCCTGCATTCCATGGAGTGGGTCAAAGATTGTATCCTTAAAGTAATGGGCGATCTATAAAAAATAAGTTTGGAATTATATTATAAGTTCTTTTTAAATTTTCTCAATGAAAATGTAACATATGAAATTAAAATAAAAATTTCTGCCAGAGAATAATCAATGTATATTGTAATTGAGTATAAGCATATGTTGTTGGCTGAAAGCACATGAATGGTTTATATCTAACTCGTCCTTCACGCAAGAACCGTTTGAGCTTGAAGTGTAGAGAGTTCATAGATCCACCTTACTTTTGTTGAGATCTAAATTTTATTTGGATTATTGAGAGATTGGATTGAATTTAGACATAATCATAGAGGCTTAATGACATTTCATGAGTCAAATAAACCAGAAGATAAACTGCTGGGTGAAAGAACATGAATGGTTAAGTATTAAACATTCAAATTTGTTATACATTGAATATGCTATATACTTTGAGAGGTTTTAAACTTAACTTGTTGTAGAGGAACTGAAATATGGAGGATTGAGAATTTTCAACCAGTTCCATTGCCCAAATCTGAATATGGGAAATTCTACATGGGAGATTCATACATCGTCTTGCAGGTATGAGCTACATTCTATGTTACCTTAGATGTGTGTTGTATGCAAATCCTAGGGGTTAAATGTTCTGATATTAATTATAAAATGAAGCTCTGGAATTAGTTAGTCTTTTTCTGTTACCAGAGAATTGAGGTTCAACAGAAAAAAATTAGGTTTTATTGAATATCCCCTCCAACACTGGATCAATAGTTTCTAGGTCAAGAAGTAGATATGATGATGCCTTTACCCAAGAATTCTACAGACTGGCCTCACCCTACCAAAATTTACTAACCAACTGAATTCTTTCGCACTCTCTTCCTATTTGTATTTTACCCCTGCTACTGTAGTTAGAGAGCTAGCAAACTCTTACTACTTCTCTATCCCCTTTTGCTGCCAAGGCCACAGTCACAGAGTCCAAGCGACTCGGATCTTAGGGTTACTCATGGGCATTTCATGGTCTTATAGAAGTTTCATATGGTCTATTCACTATGGTCCAAAATATGTGACTAATTTCAGTATATAATTCTGGGGGATAGTTTCGGATGGCATGAGGAAAAAACTTTTAATACAATTCCCTCTTTTGTAAAAATATAGATTTAGAATTAACATAATTTCTCTTTGTATGAAAATATATTGTTTATTTTAATCTTATTTTATAAAAAAATTGTTGTTCTTGTTTGTAGACAACACAAGGCAAAGGAGGTGCTTATTTTTATGATTTATACTTCTGGATTGGAAAGGATACAAGTCAGGTAAATATTTTTCATTCCCGGATCATGCCCAACTCAGCTTGCATTTAAATATTTTTCCTCTCATAAAAAGAGGCAAGCAGAATGTTAAACCTGAGTAGAATGCTGAACCTTGTAACAATATGCTTAAAAAAATTGTTCCAACGTCTAAGGTCGTTTTTGTCTCTAGTTGGTATTTTTTTTTTTTTGCATTCTTGTTCTTTATAAAGAAGAATTTTGATATGTTAGTCCACCATTTTTATTTTCAAAGGGCACCTGTTTTATTATTTGTTTCATTATTCCTAGGTTTTTGAAAATTCTTGCGCCAATCCCTTTTGGGCTAAAAAATAGTCTTGGCTGACATAGTGAATTTTCTTGTAGGATGAGGCTGGAACAGCCGCCATTAAAGCTGTTGAACTTGACACAGCTCTTGGAGGACGAGCTGTGCAACACAGAGAGATTCAGGGACATGAGTCTGACAATTTTTTGTCATATTTTAGGCCATGTATTATACCATTAGAGGGGGGTGTTGCATCTGGATTTAGAAAACCTGAAGAAGAGGAGTTTGAAACACGTTTGTATGTATGCAGAGGGAAAAGAGTTGTCAGATTGAAACAGGTAATGTGTTGTCTGTTCATTAACTTCTTTGATTCTGTTTACATGTAATTTAAAATTATTCTCTGGCAGGTCCCGTTTGCAAGATCTTCATTGAACCATGATGATGTGTTCATTCTTGACACCGATAATAAGATTTATCAATTCAATGGGGCAAATTCCAACATTCAGGAAAGAGCCAAGGCTTTGGAAATTATACAGTTTCTGAAAGAAAAATATCATGAAGGGAAATGTGATGTTGCAATTGTTGGTAAGGGCACTGTTACCTATTATATGATTCTGATATCTGTTTTCAGAGGTGAGTTCTTTGTTTGTTACTTGAAAAAACTATCCCACATCGCAGATGATGGAAAGTTAGACACTGAGTCAGATTCAGGTGAATTTTGGGTCCTCTTTGGTGGTTTTGCTCCCATTGCAAAAAAGGTAATCAGTGAGGATGATATCATTCCAGAGGAAATTCCTGCTCAGCTGTATGGGTATGTTGATTTTATTTTCAAATTTTCCTAAGCCTGTCCCCACCACCACTTTTAGTTTTCCTTGAAGCACCCGTTTCTGGAAGGTTATATATAAGGAATATACTTTGTATTTCATATGTTTGTAGAACAGTACATGGGAGGTATTTATAGAATCCAAGTAGCAGTAAATAGAAAACTAATCAACTGAAAATATGGGGTAATTATTCTCCCTATGATTGCTAATTCTAAATATGGTAAAGACAAACAATAGTTACAATTAACCACTATTTACATACAGTCTTAATGACAGTAAACAACATCATTTGTTTGATTCTGCAGCAGAATCTGTTTGACTCTTTGATGTTAAACAATATATAATTAACGAAAGAAATTGGTTGATTTTTAGCCACAAACCATATTAATAAATCAAAACAGTGGAACTTATTAGCTGCATTTTAATTTATTACGTCTGTTTGTCATCTAATTTGCATGTATGATAAAAGAATATAGAAAAGTTATTTGTAATCAATTGCTTTGTTATCTGATGATAGGAACTGGAGAATATAGAAGAAAATGGTATTTAATGATACAATTTTATTATTGCATTGCAGTTATTTGAGAGACTCGGTTCTCCCCCCTCTCTCTATATTCCATTCCGAAACTAAAACTAACCCTCACTAATCTTCCTTTCCTCATATTTGTTGCTCATATCGTTTCACATACTCTAAATGTTATGAAGGGGGTTACCTATAAATACTTTCCCCTTAAGCTTCCATCTTGTCCTCGATGCATCTTATAGTTGCTTAGTAAAAAGTTTCATTGGGGTCCCACTTTCTTAAGTCTCCAACTCCATCAGTATTGACTTGACAAAAAACAACCGCTATCATGTAAGTTCTACTAGGATCAAATAAGAAACTCTAGTCTTTCCTGCCGACACCAGTCAAGTAAGGAACCCTTTTGTTGATGAACCACTCGTCAATATTTGTACTCCAATCAGATTCCTCTTCCACCATGGACATTTTATTTGATCCTATACCCTGTCTTTCGTTTCCATTTTTTGTTCTTGAGTTCTTTTTTTGACCCTTCTCCAAACCAACATCTCAGTTTTATTCTCATCTCTGAGTTGTGTTGGTTTGTCACCTTCGAGGATGGCTCATTTCCATATATGTGAAGGTTGGTGGTGTCATATGTCAGACGTTATTGTGGAATTTTGGCTCTCTGCCATGGGCCGACATCCACCATCGATGACATTGTCAGAAGCAGACCATCTATCATTCGCATCACATGCTCAACATGCATCTAAATATCCAGCAATATTGATATTGACACGTCTGAATAAACAAGTCCTTTCCTAGGTGACCCTTTAATGTACCTCAAGATCTAAACTTCAACATTCCAATATTTGTTCTTGTGACAGTGAGATGATAACAAACGAAATATTTGTTCTTGTGATAGAGAGATAATTCGGTTTTCCAATTAGCAGAAACTTGATAGTAGGTAGCCCAATAGATTGTTGATAGACTCTGATACCATCTTAGTTTGAGTTGGACCTAACTTAACCTTACAAAAGCCGCTTGTTTGGTGAGGATTGCACCCACTTATCATCGCATGTTCAAATCATATCTCATACGACGTGGGACTCTTAACAAACCCTTTTTCCTTTATGGTGCCAAGGTCTCTTCGTCAAGGATGCTTTCATGTGGTTCCATTGTGACATCTTATTCTCTCTTCTCAGGTATATGTTTCCGTTCTGGTGTGTGTATTCATTGTCCTTCATTAGGTACTCCTTCTCTTGTGAGATGCATTCCCGACAACCACCACAACCATCTTTGGAATCCTTCAGCTAGCCCAATTTTCTTTGCTACAGTCACCTCTGGTCACACTACAACTTTCAAGTCGCAGCTAGAACCCTCTTGTTTCTATTTTCTCTACATTTCATCCCTCTGTTGTAATGAGCTTAAAGCGTAGTGAGCTTTAGTTTGAGGGGAGTGTTAAAACAAAATCTTAATATTTATTGTTAGGAGTAGAAGATCATAGCAATTAAGATTTGTGGTACTTATTCTATGTGATATTATAAATAGATGTGTGTGTGGTATGTTTTAGCAATATTACATGCTGGTAATTAAAACAAAAAGTAACTTTTATATCACATTTCCTTGCAGTATCATTAATGGTGAAGTCAAGTCCATGGAAGATGAACTTTCTAAATCACTTTTGGAGAACAACAGGTGCTATTTACTGGACTGTGGTTCTGAGATATTTATTTGGTTTGGCCGGGTAACACAAGTGGAAGAACGAAAAGCAGCTTGCCAGGCAGCTGAGGTAAGACATTATAGAATCTAGTTCTTCATGTATTGTTAAAAGATGATTTTTTAACTTAACTATTAAAATATCTCCAGGAGTTTGTTTCAAGCCAAAATAGGCCAAAATCTACAAGGATAACAAGGATTACTCAAGGTTATGAGACACGTTCATTTAAGTCCAACTTTGATTCTTGGCCATCAGTATCTGCTGGTCCTGTCGCCGATGAGGGAAAGGGAAAAGTTACAGGTGGACATCATTTATTCTCAATTTTACTTTGGTTTACCTTTGTGTCTATCAAGTCGTACTGATAAGTGTGCTATTTTATGTATTGTTGTCAGCATTGCTAAAGCAACAAGGGATGGGTGTCAAAGGCATGACAAAAAGTACCCTGGTAAATGAGGAAATTCCACATTTGCTTGAAGAAGGTGGAAAGATGGAGGTACCACAATAATTTGCGTCATCAAGTTTTCCATTTCTAATTAAATTGTCACTTGTGATCATGTGGTATATAATTTTACAATAAAAGGTATGGAGAATCAATGAAAGTGCTAAGACCTCATTGCCGAAGGAGGATATTGGCAAATTTCATAGTGGAGATTGTTACATTGTACTGTACACATACCATTCTGGTGAGAGGAAAGAAGATTACTTCTTGTGCTGCTGGTTTGGCAAAGACAGCATTGAGGTAATTTGCTTCTTGCTGATTTGAGCTCAAAATATATTGCTGAGTATTTTAATTTCTTCGTATTTGCCAGTTATTTTACAGTGCTAAAACCACCAAGACTGACCAAGAATTTTCTGTGTTTACCAAAGCACATCCTCCTCCGTTCACTATTATAAACAAAAAAAAAAAATCTATTTTCATGGTGATTAAGAACTCCGGCCACTATTATAAGCAAGAAAAATCTATTTTCACGGTGATTGAGAAATTCAGCATGCAATTAATTTTTGGATTTCATGAAGGTATAAAGAAGCGTATCACCCAGTATGGATCAAAGCAAAAAATTAGTGTAGAAAAATAATATATGATATATTTCAATATTGATGATAGTACTAATACAGTAATACTGAGTTACTTTAAATAGACTATTCTAAATCTAGTGAAAGTGATTAATGGACCGCATGCTACTAATAAAAATAATTACGAATTTTTTAATCTACAACACTACCTCCCCTTTCAAGCTTATCTATTATTCCATGCTTGCAAGAAGTTGGTTGAATCTTTATGACGTTAACTCATTTGTCAATTGATATACAAATGAAGTGTTGTAATTGCCAATCCTCTATCTACCTTCTCATTTATGAAATGTTTGTCTATCTCAATGTGTTTTATCATGTCGTGTTGAACAAGATTACGAACAATATTGATGATTGTTTTATTATCACAAAACAACTTTAAAGGGCCTTCATATTGAAACTTCAAATCTTCTAGCACAAGTCTTATCTACAATAATTCACAAATTCCTTGCATCATAGATCTAAAATTTTCCTTGCCATTTGATTGAGTCTCTACACTGTGCGTTTCACTCCTCTAAGCAACAATGTTCTCACACAAAAAAGGTACAATAGCTAGAAGTAGACCTTCTATCAATAACTGAACCTACATAATCAACATTAGTATATGCCTCCGTAGTCAGGCTTACAGCTCTTTTAAACAAGAGTCCTCTCTTCGGAGTGGATTTGCAATAGTATAGCTTGCAAATCTTCTGCCCTTGGATCATATGCATGATTTGGCTCACCACACTAACTGCAGAAGCCAAATCCAAACTAGTGTGTACCAAGTGAATCAACATTCCTTCTAATTTCTAATATTATACCTTGTTATCTTTTTCGCTTTACTTCTCATATAATTCATCTTGTGATTTTGCTCAATGGAGACTGTTAAGAGTCCCACATCGGACAATATATGCCATGAACATGTGTTTATAAGTGGGGGCAGTCCTCACTCTACCAGTCGGTTTTGTAGGGTTGAGTTAGGCCCACCACGTTTTTTAACATGGTATCAGAGCCTCGTTTAAGATCCGGTGGACCACCTTCTATGGTTTCCACTATCGGGCCACCCACCATTTATTTCCACGCTTCAGTTGTCTAGTCCTGAGTGTGAGGGGGTGTGTTAAGAGTCTCACATCGGACAATATATGGCATGAACATGTGTTTATAAGTGGTGGGGGAAATCCTCACTCTACCAACCGGTTTTGTAGGGTTGAGTTAGGCCCAACCACATTTCTTAACATGGTATCAGAGGCTCGTTTAAGATCCGGTGGGCCACCTTCTATGGTTTCGGCTATCGGGCCACTCACCATTTATTTCCACGCTTCAGTTGTCCAGTCCTGAGCATGAGGGGTGTTTATAAGTGGGGGCAATCCTCACTCTACCAGCCGGTTTTGTAGGGTTGAGTTAGACCCAACCACATTTCTTAACAGAAACACCTACGGGTTTGCATTCAAGGTTTCTCGTTTCCTGCAAAAGGTCGAATACATAATTCCCAAGAAATAAAAATGCTTTGCTTTGAATAGCCTACCTTAATTATTAAGAAATACTTGATTTGCTCAAGGTCGTTCATCTCAAACTTTTTTGATAATGGCTTTTTGAGAAGTTGTTTCTCACTCAAATCACCTACAATAATTATATGATCAACTTAAATAAGAAATATAATCATTTTTCCATCTTGTGAATCCTTGACTTTGCTTATCGCCCAAGCAAACCATTGCCTTGGTGAATCTTTCAAACCATGCTCAAGGAACTGCTTTAGTCTATATAAGACCTTCTTCAATCGACATACCTTGTTGGCTTCATCTATGAGACCAATGCCTTGGAAAATATCGATATAACACATTTTTAAACCAAACTGGTGCAACAGTTTCCATCTGGAGTAAGCATCGGAAATAGTAAGATCCGAACAAAATTCATTTTTTTATTGGAGCAATTGTCTCAATATAATTAATTTCATATGTTTGAGTATATCCTCTAAAGCATGGGTACTTCTAAAATGGCGAAGTACTTGCATCGTACGAATGGTACTTTATCTTTTTTCTTTTTTCATTATTATGCCTTGAGTGATATTTATGATTTTTTCATATAGTAATATAATATAGTCGGTATTATAGTTTTTTATTGTGATGTTTCATTTTGAATTGAACAATTTAATTCTTTAGTGATACATTTTAAAAAGAATCTTATTTTTTATTAATGTACCCATATCTTGATTTTTCTTTTAAATTTTGTATCTCTTACCGGATACCATACCTGTACTTATGTATTATAGAGTATATTATAGAGTATAGTAATATAATATATCCTTTTGTCACTAGGCTTACCATATAATAGTCTAGGGTGTATTTGATTTGTGCTTTGCTGTATAGATCCACATGCATCTAAGAGCACCTCCAATGGTGCAACTCATTTTTAGGTTCTTTGTGGGACCCACTCTTCTAAAATACCTTATTCAATTTTCACTCCAATGGTGCAACTTCAAAGAACCCATATTGGGTCCCACTACTTTACTTAAATATATTATTTATATTAAATTTATTTTATTTAAAATTATAATTTAAATATTTAAATTTTAATTACTATAAATATAAACTAAACATAAAATTAAAATTAAACATAAAATTGAAAATAATAATTTATGAATAAAATGATGAAATTGTGAGAGAGAAATTTAAAATTAAAGAGTAAATAAAAGTGAGAGAAAATAAGATTGTTATAAATTTTTGCAACAAACTTATATTTATAATAAATAAAAAAAGTTTAAAAAAATAAAAATAAAATCAACAAGTTAAATAATTATTTTAATAATAAAAAAAAATGAAGAACCATTGCTTATGCAAGGAACGTTCACCACCTGGAACAACTTTTTGTTGACAATTTCAATGCCAAATTGGCAAACCAATTTGAAGAACCACCGTTGGAGATGGTCTAAGTAGCTTTTTGCCTCTAAACAAATTTTCAACTCTCATTTTTCTCTCGTGTTTTTTATTTTCTCATCTATAGTTTGGGCACAATTTTTATCTTTCTAACACTTCTGGAATAGACGATGGAGTTCTGCTGATTCAACAACTGAAATAAAATTCTAATACTACGGAGAAAGATGTTTAGAGGAGACAAATTTAGGAATTTAAATATTTATATTTAGAGGGACATAATCTTTTATCATTTTTGGGCTCCCGAGAGAAGATTAATTTATGAGAATAGAGGTTACAATGATACTGTGCACATTGGGATGAATGGATTACCTAAAGATCGGCTTGCATTCATTCTATGGTTATTCTTAGAATGTGTGGGTTGGGTCTAACTCATCTCTAACAAACTGACTTATAAGGTGAGGGTATCCAAACTTTAGAATTAAGATATTTATATTTAGAGGAGCATGATCTTTTATCATTTTTGGGCTCCCTGAGAGAAGATTAATTTATGAGAATAGAGGTTACAATGATACTGTGCACATTGGCATGAATAGATTACCTAATGATCGGCTTGCGTTCATTCTATGGTTATTCTTAGAATGTGTGGGTTGGGTCTAACTCATCTCTACCAAACTGGCTTATAAGGTGAGGGGTGTCCAAACTCTATCAATGTGAGACTAAATCCCTCCTTTCAAACCCAACAATATATAGGTGTTGGAGGCTACAATGAAAACAATCCAAATGTCGCAATTAGGCGACTAGGAACGAATCGCAGTAAAGGTAGTTTTTCAACACACACACACTCATGCTTGGACCTCAATGAATCCAAAGCGATGTGGGAAGCCCAACTACAGGCCTAGGATAGGCTCTGATACCGTCGTAGAATTTGGGTTGAGCCTAACTCAACCTTCTCTAAGAAATGTGGGACTAAATCCACCCCTTCAAACTCAACACAATGAAGGTGTTTTAGACTGCAATGAAGGCAAGACCAATGTCGTAGTTAGGCGAATAGGGGAGGACCGCAATGAAGGTGAAAATTCCAACACCCCTCCTCATGATCGGGCCTTAATGAGCTTGAAGTGTGGACAATGCAGGAAGCCCAACATCAGATCTAGAATAGGCTCTGATACCATCTTAAAAATAGAGTTTGGTCTAACTCATCCCTATAAAACTGACTTGTAAGGTGAGGATTGCCCCTACTTATAAACACATGGCAAGCCAAATGTCGTAAATCGCAATTAGGTGATTAGGGGCGGGCCGCAATGAAGGCGGAAATTCCAGCTGTTATTCTGTTTTTATTGGAGGGAATCTCACTTTTTGGAAAAACAAAAAGTAAAGTGTTGTTGCTAGATTCAATGTAGAGGATGAATACAGAGGTGGCTCTCACCTGATGAGAACTTATATGGTTGAAAAGACTTCCTGATGAGTTAATGTTCTGCAAGTTTGAGACAATGGATTTTATTTGTGATAATTAAATAGCTTTTACATATCGCATCTAGTCCATCTAATCTAGTTTTTCAGGAGTGCACTAACACAGAGAGATTGATTGACACTTTATTCTTGAGAAGATTCTTTTTGGACAGATTTTTACATCCTTTGTGAACTTTAAAGATTGAAATAGCTTATATTTTCACCAAATCTCTCAAGGGCCGGAGAATATCTTATATATGTCCCAAGCTTGATTTATATGATAAATATGCACCAACTGGAGGCAGAGTGTTGAAATATTTCCTTGATTTTCTTTCCTTTACCGTATCCAAACATTTCAGATTGTAAATTAATTAGATTGATATAGGTTCTTACTCTTATCTCTATAATTAAGGGATCTTGATTGTAATCCCATTAATATAAATAGAACATGCTAAAGGGTTAATCTCTCCAATTCTTTTCCATTTTCAAGTGTTTTGCATGCTTTTGACCTTGGATACATTTCTTTTCCAGGAGGACCAAACACTGGCTTTGAAACTGGCTAATACAATGTCCAACTCTTTGAAGGGTAGACCTGTTCAGGTATTATAATCTGAACTTCGGGCTGCAGATTGTGCTAGTAATTTGTGTATAATTATTGTTTCTGCTTTCAGGGTCGAATATTCGAAGGTAAAGAGTCACCACAATTTGTTGCTCTTTTCCAACCCATGGTAGTCCTTAAGGTATATCTTGGAGCAAATTTGTATGGTGTTTTTGGTTACATATCTAGTAGACTAGTATCACTTAGAAAAGACACATTCAAATGGCTTATGCCTATTTTTAGGGAGGTTTGAGCACTGGATATAAACAATTTGTAGCAGACAAAGGTTTATCAGATGAGACATACACGGAAGAATCTACCGCGCTTATCCGAATTTCTGGAACTTCCATCCATAACAATAAAGCAGTGCAAGTTGGTGCAGTATGTACCATGAAATTATTAATTTCCCCCCATTAGCATGTTTCTAGGGCTTTATCTTTGTAATCCATCAGAATTATGTTATTCTTATTCAGGTGCCATCGTCATTGAATTCTACCGAATGTTTTGTCCTGCAATCTGGCTCTACAATTTTCACTTGGCATGGGAATCAGTGTTCCATTGAACAGCAGCAGCTAGCAGCAAAGGTCGCAGAATTTCTAAGAGTAAGATCTGTTACCTCCATGTTGTGGACATTTTGCCAAATTATTCGAGCATTGCAATAGTAATTCAGAGCATAACCAAGCCGCAATTTTACTAATTCAATCTCTTTTAAGTGTTTACTGAAAAGAGCACCATTGTTAATTATCATGTTATTTAAATTGTATTTATTGTTAAGAGTTCCACATCGGACAATATATGGCATGAACATGTGTTTATAACTGGAGGCAATCCTCACTCTACCAACCTGTTTTGTAGGGTTGAGTTAGACCCAACCACATTTCTTAACATGGTATCAAGAGTCTCGTTAAAGATCCGGTGGGTGGGCCACCTTCTATGGTTTCTACGGGGGTAATCCTCACTCTACCAACCGGTTTTGTAGGGTTGAGTTAGACCCAACCACGTTTCTTAACATTTATTTTTATTGATGCATTAATTTAGTTATCGTCCTTATTAATACACCCAAAAGATTGGTTACCAGAAGATTGAATTGTTCAAACTGACATGGTATGACTATATCCTCTGGTTAAACCTAAGTGCCTTACTTGTGGTTTCCTGCGACTGCTCTGGTTAAACCTAAGTATCTTTTTTAACAAGATAAAAATACTTTTAGTATTTCTGTCTGCATTGTTTGCTAATGTGATATCAGTCCATGTTCAGCCAGGTGTTCCTTTAAAGCATGCTAAAGAAGGTACAGAAAACTCAGCTTTCTGGCTTCCACTAGGAGGAAAACAAAGTTACACTAGCAAGAAAGTTACTAATGAGGTTATCAGAGATCCACATCTGTTCACCTACTCATTGTATAAAGGTTAGAATTTCTTTTCGTGTAGCATACTTGTTTACTTTATATTTGAATATACTGACCATTTTTTATTTTGTTTATTCTTTGCACTGTGAATCTACCAGGAAAGTTACATGTGAGTCTGTTAGAGCAACTTTTTGTTATTTTCTCCTGTTTTGGAACGTTGTAAGTAGAACCCTTTGAGGCCTCTTTATTCCTTCTAAATTTACTTTTCTAATTTATTCTGCAGGTAGAGGAGGTTTACAACTTCTCCCAAGATGATTTGTTAACAGAGGATATCCACATACTGGACACACATGCAGAAGTGTTTGTTTGGATTGGTCAGTGTGTTGACCCAAAGGAAAAGCAAAATGCTTTTGAAATTGGCCAGGTGAACAAAATTCAATGCTTTTGATTCTTATATTCCTTCCTACTTTAAGTACTTGATTTATTCTTGAAAATTTGCATCAGAAATACATAGATGTGGCTGCATCTCTGGAGGGACTATCTCCACGAGTACCCTTATATAAAGTAACAGAAGGGAATGAACCTTTCTTTTTCACAACATACTTTTCATGGGATTGGGATCATTCAAGAGCTAAGGTATGCCCACAGGAATTAAAATGGCCCTTTTGGTTTGTTTTTTGTTTTTAAACATAACAATATCCTTCTCATTCTTTTTCTTATCTTCAACTGTAAGTCACAATACTTTGCATTTCTGTGCTGGTTGGTTGGGAGCATAATGTAATTACTGGCTCATGGGCTGGTTGAGCAAAATCCGTTATAATTTTGTCATCCTATAGAGATTTCCCAAATTCTTATTCTAAATGTTTTAGTCTAAAATGATAGCGAGTGACAGTGTAATATTGTAAAAGCTGTTCTAGTGTATCTCTATTGTTTGGTAAAATGATATGACTGTGAGGAACGGATACTTTAATTTGTTGACTTTACATGGATTATTTTCCTTAAAACTTCAGGTTCACGGGAACTCCTTCCAGAAAAATGTCACATTACTCTTTGGAACTGGCCATGCAGTGGAGGTATAGTCTTTATTTTTATTTTTTGTTTTGGGAAAACTGAAGCTGTTAAAAAAACCCCGAAACATGCAAAATAATGCAATTATCAGAATATAACTTTATATTAACTACAAAATAAGAAGTTTTGATGTGAGACTCTTAACAAAACACAACATCTATTATGAGCTATGTCTTTATATTAGGAAAAACCAAGTCTCATAAACCGGTTTTGTAGGGTTGAGTTAGGTCAAACTCTAATTTTATCATGGTATCACGAGCCTATCGATTCGGGCCACCCGCCATTTATATATGTGCACCAAGTCCAAGATACAGTCTACAAAGAATTTATATAGAGTGACACCCCTCACCTTACAAACCGGTTTTGTAGGATTGAGTTAGGCCAAACTCTAATTCTATCACTTTATTTACTTGATCCAACAACTGTTTCTATCTCATGTCAAACTGCTTTAGATCCAATTATATTTTTCTTTCTTCAAATTATGAGAGAAGATAAACTAATTTCATCGATCAAGAATGAATTCAAACTGTTACAAGTTACAACAGAACCAAGCCAAACCTATATCAATTGATCTTCCAGCTAATGCAACTGAATTTAATAGTAGAATAGTATAAAAGCAGACTAAAGCTGCGAGAAACAGAGACAGAAAATTTGGATTCCAGGGATGATTCCAATAAAATCTGATTTCAAGTGTAGGGATTCTAACCTTAGAAGAGAATCGGTACAAAGAGAAATTACATGAAGAGAAACTAGAGTTGTAGAGAGAAGAGTATTTTTGTAAATGATGATTGATTCATTCATTAGACTTTTGTTCATAATATAGGCATGTCCACTTATAATAAGGAGAATATTCTAACAATTTGTTAGAGCATAGTTGCCACCTCAGTGCATAAACTAAATGGATATCTAAATAAAAATATTAACGTTACATAAATACTGTAACAATACCCTCCCCCTTCAAACACATCCCTGTCCTCAAGGATGAAAAGAAGAAACTTCTCAAAAAGAACCATATAAAACATTAAAGTGCCATGCTTAGGAGAAAAATATCTTCCTTTTGATCAACCTTAGCAGCTTGAACACTTACCTCCATTGCGAATCATTTTCCTATCCAAAATAGCCACATACTTTCTTGGGGAGGTGTGAACCACATACAACGATAATTCGGGCAAAAAGAGATCCTTTATGAGCTTGGATTTCAAAACCCCCAAATTAGGGCAAAAAGAGATCCTTTGTGAGGATGTCAGCAAGCTGCTACTGTCACCTTGCACTTAATCTTAGAATAGCTAGATGATAAGAACTTGCTATAGTAGGTATAGGTAAAACCCGCCTCAACTTGCTATAGTAGGTATAAGTAAAACCCGCCTCAATTTCTCACTGTTGAGGATCAGTGATTATGGACATGTATCTGATGCATGCAGTGTTTGGGAACTCTTAAAATACAAGAGACTAAGAGACATTTGAATAAACCGCGTGTTTTGAAAAGCACTACGGAGACATTATTATATATAGAAAAATTACAATTAATTACATGATATAGTCGATGTGGGACTATTCTATATACAAATATTCTTAACACTATATACATTTACAAATATCAACACTCCCCCTCAAGGTTGAGCATATAAGTCAAATGCACCAAACTTGTTACATATATAATTAGTTCTGGGGCTTTGTAGGGATTTTGTAAACACATCTGCCAATTGATCATTAGAGTTAACAAAGCTTGTGACGATGTAGCCTGACCCGATCTTATCTCTGACAAAGTGACAGTCTATCTCAATATGTTTGGTCCTCTCATGGAAGACTGGATTTGAAGCAATGTGCAATGCAGCTTGATTATCACAAATAAGTGTCATTGGTCTTGCTTCTTCAATTTGAAGTTCCTTGAGCAACTGTTTTAACCAAATAAGTTCACATGTTGCCATTGCCATGACCCTATACTCTGCCTCGGCGCTTGATCTTGCAACTATATTTTGTTTCTTACTTTTCCAGGATATAAGGTTTCCTCCAACAAGTACACAATACCCAGAGGTGGATCGTCTATCAATGGGTGACCCTGTCCAATCATCATCGGAGTATCCAATTATCTGGTTATGTCATTTATCCTCATACACATGACCTTTTTCTGGAGCACATTTGATGTATCTCAGAATCCGGATAACAGCATCCATGTGTTCCTGACAAGGAGAATTTAAGAACTGGCTTACCACACTGAGTGCAAAAGAAATGCCCGGACGAATGGCTGTGAGATAATTCAACTTTCCAACTAATCTCCTATACCTTTCTGAGTCAAATAGAGGCTCCCCCTGATTGAGTAGTAGTTTAGCACTTGGATCCATAGGAGTATCGGCTGGTTTAGCATTTAACAAACTTGTTTCTTCCAAAATATCCATAGCATATTTCTGCTGAGAAATCACCAAACCATCTTTAGATTGAGCTACTTCAATACCCAAGAAATAACGGAGTTTACCAAGATCTTTTGTCTGAAATTGTTTCAAGAGATGTTTCAACTGGAGTATTCCCTGCTGATCACTACCAATTATAACAATGTCATCTACATATGCAATAAGATAAATACATCCTTGGGGTGAGTGACGATAAAAAACATAATGGCCAGCTTCACTACGGATCATACCAAATTGTTGTATTACAATGCTGAATCTGCCAAACCAAGCTCTCGGAGATTGCTTAAGACCATAAAGAGACCTGTGTAGCCTACAAACCATATTCGATGACTCCCCCTGAGCAACATGTTGAAATACAAGAGACTAAGAGACATTTGAATAAACCGTGTGTTTTGAAAAGCACTACGGAGATATTATTATATATAAATAGAATACAACTAATTACATGATATAGTCGATGTGGGACTATTCTATATACAAATATTCTCAACACTATATATATATATATTTACACATATCAACACTCCCCCTCAAGCTTGAGCATATAAGTCAAATGCACCAAGCTTGTTACATATATAGTTAGTTCTGGGGCTTCGTAAGGATTTTGTAAACACATCTGCCAATTGATCATTAGAGTTGACAGAGCTTGTGACGATGTTGCCTGACTCGATCTTCTCTCTGACAAAGTGACAGTCTATCTCAATATGATTGGTCCTCTCATGGAAGACTGGATTTGAAGCAATGTGCAATGCAGCTTGATTATCACAAATAAGTGTCATTGGTCTTACTTCTTCAATTTGAAGTTCCTTGAGCAACTGTTTTAACCAAATAAGTTCACATGTTGTCATTGCCATGGCCCTATACTCTGCCTCGGCGCTTGATCTTGCAACTACATTTTGTTTCTTACTTTTCCAGGATATAAGGTTTCCTCCAACAAGTACACAATACCCAGAGGTGGATCGTCTATCAATGGGTGACCCTGCCCAATCAGCATCAGAGTATCCAATTATCTGGGTATATCTTTTATCCTCACACACAAGACCTTTTCCTGGAGCACATTTGATGTATCTGAAAATCCGGATAACAGCATCCATGTGTTCCTGACAAGGGGAATTTAAGAACTGGCTTACCACACTGACTGCAAAAGAAATGTCCGGACGAGTGACTGTGAGATAATTCAACTTTCCAACCAATCTCCTATATCTTCCTGAGTCAGATAAAGGCTCCCCCTGATTGGGTAGTAGTTTAACACTTGGATCCATAGTAGTATCAGCTGGTTTAGCATTTAACAAACTTGTTTCTTCCAAAATATCCATAGCATATTTCCGCTGAGAAATGACCAGACCATCTTTAGATTGGGCTACTTCAATACCCAAGAAATAGCGGAGTTTACCAAGATCTTTTGTCTGAAATTGTTTCGAGAGATGTTGTTTCAACTGGAGTATTCCCTGCTGATCACTACCAGTTATGACAATGTCATCTACATACACAATAAGATAAATACACCCTTGGGGTGAGTGACGATAAAAAACAGAATGGTCAGCTTCACTACGGATCATACCAAACTGTTGTACTACAGTGCTGAATCTGCCAAACCAAGCTCTCGGAGATTGCTTAAGACCATAAAGAGACCTGTGTAGCCTACAAACCATATTCGATGACTCCCCCTGAGCAACAAACCCAGGTGATTGCTCCATATATACTTCCTCTTCAAGATCACCATGTAAGAATGCATTTTTGATATCAAGTTGATGAAGAGACCAATGTCGAATGGCTGCAATGGCTAGAAGAAGTCTAACAGATGTCATCTTGGCTACAGGCGAAAATGTATCACTATAATCCAACCCAAAGATCTTAGTGTATCCTTTGACTACCAAGCGAGCTTTAAATCGATCAATCTTACCATCTGGACCAACCTTCACTGTATAAAGCCAACGACAACCTACTAAAGATTTTCCATGAGGTAGAGAAATCAATTCCCAAGTACCACTGCTTTGAAGAGCACACATTTCATCAATCATTGTTTGCCTCCACTCAGGGTGAGATAATGCTTCACTCGGAGTTTTAGGAATAGAAACAGAAGACAAAGAAGACAAACAAGTATACTGCAAAGGGGAAAGACGATGATAACATAAATCAATATAATGTGGAGAAGGATTTCGTGTTTGGCGTGTACCTTTTCGAAGGGCAATCGGAAGATCAGACTCAGGTTGCAGGATCGCATCCGATGATGGCGAGAGCGTCGGAGGAGAGTCTGTAGTGACCTGAGGTACAGGTACGACTTCAGGGACAGATACGACTTCAGGGACAGGTATGACAGACGTTGGGTGACGACGCTGATATGTTTGAAGTGGGCGAGGAGTGGGGGGGTCAACCGTAGGGGTATCTAGTGGGTCAGGTTCCCTAGAATGATGGGGAATAATGACAGATGGGACTTCCGGAAGAAGTGTGAGAATACTTTCCTGTAGAGGTTCCATAGTTACTTGGCTGCACTCAAAATATGGAACAGACTCGAAGAAGGTAACATCGGCCGATACGAGGTATCGTTGTAGAGTATGTGAGTAGCAACGATAACACTTTAGTGATCGAGCGGATAGTATATCAAAACCAGGGGAGAGATTATGTAAAAACACGTAGACCCGAAGACTCGAGGAGGAATTGGGTGGAATGGAGAGTTTGGAAACAAGATTGAATGAGGGATTTTATTATTAAGGACAGATGAGGGCATGCGATTATGAGGTAACATGCCGTGAGCACCGCATCTCCCCAAAACCGGAGTGGAACATTACCATGGAGAAGTAGGGTTCGAGTGGTTTCTACGAGGTGCCGATTTTTGCGTTCGGCTACCCTGTTTGGTTGGGGTGTATGAGGGCAAGATGTTTGGTGCAAAATACCATTGGATGACATAAATGTTTGAAATTGTTGGGATAAATATTCACGTGCATTGTCACTTCTTAAGGTACGAATAAACAAACTAAATTGGATTCTTATTTCTCGATAAAATTGTTCAAAAATGGAAAACAATTCAGATCTATTCTTCATTAAGAATAACCACGTGCAACGTGAAAAATCATCAATAAAGGTGACAAAATACCTAGACTCAAGAATAGAGACAGTACGCGAGGGACTCCAAACATCGGTGTGAACTAAAGCAAAAGGGGACGAAGCTCGTTTGTTGACTCGATTGGAAAATTGACTACGAGTGTGTTTCCCTAACTGACACGACTCAATGTAAATTAGATACTTTTGATAAATTTGGCACCAACTTATGTAATTTGGAAAGGTTGGGATGACCTAACTGAGCATGGATAGTGAGTGGAGAATCTTGGGCTGAGCATATCTGTGATGACAATGAAAGGTAATAAAGGCCTTGAGACTCATATCCAACGCTAATCGTCCGTCCCGAACTCTGATCCTGCAGGGTAACATTATTGTTAGTGTAAGTGACACTATAATCAAGAGAACGAGTTAAACGAATGACTGAAAGTAAATTAAATGGACAATTAGGTACATAGAGGACAGAAGTAACAGAGAGAGAAGGTAGAATTTGAACAGTACCAATCCCTTCGGATCGAGTTTGAGAACCATTGACAGAAGTTATAGTAGGTAAAAAACCAAAGGTAGAGAGGGAAGAGAAAAGATTTTTATTACCAGTAACATGATCAGACGCACCAGAATCAAGGACCCAAGATCGAAGAGGAAATGATTGAGAGAGGCAAACAGATGAATTACCAGTGTGTGCTACCGTAGCAGTAGAATTTGAGTTATGATAATTCTGATACCACCTGAGGAAATCATCTTAGTTTGGCGTAAAATTCTGAAGAGTAGCCATGAGTATCTAAAGAGAAGTAGCGCGTGCGGGCGCGTGCGGAAGTTTCTGCCAGTGAAAAAGTTTGCTAGAAGGTCGCCGGAAATAGTAGCGACGACGGTGGACGGCGGCTATGCGGTTATGACCGGAAAATATTTGAAAATTGATGGTGGAATCGGCTTTTCGGAACGTCACCGGAAGTTTTGTCAGAACAGTACCGGCGGCAGTGGTGGTAAGGTGGTTACCGAAGAATTTTGAAAAGTGAGAGGCAAACCGGAGTAACAACACGGTTTGCAAAAAAAAAAATCTCATCAGAAGACAGTGGGTCAAACGGGTAAAGCATGGCGAAAAAAGAATTGCCTCTTAGCAGGCTATAGATACCATGTTTAGAAATGTGGTAGGGCTTAACTCAGCCCTACAAAACCGGTTGGTAGAGTGAGGATTGCTCCCAGTTATAAACACATATTTATGCCATATATTGTCCGATGTGAGACTTTTAATAAAATATAAAGATTTTCTGTTATCAATTGAGAATTGAGAATTAAAATATATATGTTGATATAAATCAAACAATTTGTTCCATTATAAAAATGTTCATAAGCTACAATACTTTTTCATTTTCACTCATCCATAAACTATGCCTAAAAGCTAAAAATGATTAAATCAAATTTAATGTTTTGAACTTTTTTATTGATCATCACTGAAAGGTGTCCGACGTCGAATGAGTGTCAAATCAAAGACTTTTTTTTGAGACACGCGTCGTATGAGTATTGTATGGGCGCTAGACACTGACGTGCGTCAGACACTGACGTGTGTCGGACACTGAGACATGAATCTATAGGTGTCCGTACTTCAGAAAATAATGGTAATTTTGATTCTAATACATAGGTCAAGAGCTATTGTAGTATTACTAATACATGCCAAGCCCACGAATATTATAAAATTGTTAGGCCTAATTAAATAAGGAGATAAATCAGAAATCATAATAAATACTGAAACTCGTAACATTGCTTCTGCAATTACATATTGAGTCATATAAGCTTGTGCAGATGCAATAATGTCAATAATAATATGATTTCTGAATTTGTTTTAGAATAATCGATATGTTCTGTGTTTCTATCTTCTTAACAAAGCTAAACTGATTCCTATGGCAGGAAAAATCAAATGGGTCAAGTGGACCAAGACAAAGGGCAGAAGCTTTGGCTGCTTTATCTTCTGCTTTTAGCTCATCGTCTATGAAAACGAGTAGGGTATGGTTTCTGCTTCTTTAATATTGGTGAAGCTTTAGCATTCCTTTTTCTATATTGGCTGCTTTATCTTCTGCTTTTACCTCATCATCTATGAAAATGAGTATGGTATGGTCTTTTCTGCTTTAATATTGGTGAAGTTTTAGTATTCCTTTTTCTCTGTGAAGGGATCAGAGAGAACATGTTCATACTCAAGTGACCTTCTGTGCTATATTCTAAATATTGCTCTTTGGGTGTTTCTTTGGTAGACTGGTTTCTCTATTTTAATTTGTGATTCAATTAAATCTTCACAGGAGAGATTGAATGGGTTAGACCATGGAGGACCAAGACAAAGAGCGGAAGCTTTAGCTGCTCTAAACTCTGCATTTAATTCTTCATCAACGACGAAGAGAGTTGCTCCTAGGCCACCTGGAAAAGGTCAAGGATCGCAAAGAGCAGCCGCCTTGGCTGCTCTTTCATCGGTTCTTACTGCTGAAAAGAACAAACAATCACCTGATTCATCTCCTGAGGCCAGCCGCAGTCCTGTCCCAGAGAGTGTCATTTTTGGTAATAATTGCAGTTTTCTTTATCTAAGTCAGATGTTGCATACAATTTAAACCATGGTCCCTCTTTCTATTTTTTGCATAAATTTACAGAATGGGTTTGCGGGGTTGAATATTTCACAACAACATACTTAATGTTTGTTTCTCTTTCTAATAGTATGTAAATCTTTTTTGTTGAATATTATTTATATCGTGTTTAATCATAATTATAAAAGCTGCAGTCAAGTGAATTCATTTCAATGGCTAGTATTTTGTGGAAGAATAAACTACGTCAGAGTGAAGATCTTAGTGCTATATTGTGCTCAAGTTTTTAGACGGCTTTAAAATCCCTGGCATATTGAGTGCTTATCGAGTTTGTAGAGAAGAAATATCATGTAATAAGTAAATAAAGTATAGGCTTTTATTTTGCCCTAGAGGAATCTTCATAGTCGATAGGCAGTGTTGCATTAAACAACGCTGGACTTGTGTTTGCCCAACCATATCTGTGTACTTGTTATTTTACTAGTTGGAGTTTTACTGCAGAAGTTAAAAGTGGAAGTGAATATTCTGAAGTTGATGAAACTACTGAAGCCAAGGAAATGGAAGAAGTTGCCCCGGAATCTGGTAGCAGTGAAGGTCTGGAATCTAGTCAAGAAAATGTGGAAGATGAAAATAATGACCAGAGTAGTCAAAGGACATTCAGTTATGATCAGTTAAAGACTACGTCTGGCAAAAATGTGTCTGGAATTGACCTTGAACGGCGTGAGGTTAGTCTTCCTTTTAATTATTACAAGCACCTCAAAATAGAACAAATATTACAAGGGTTCCCTTGAATTTTCCCACCCCTCTGATTTTATTTATTTATTTATTCAGTTTTGGGGCTATTTTAATTTGCAATATTTCAAATTCTAATGGCAGGCATATAATTTATGGTTTGGCTTTATGATAGTACTATGTTACACATTTTCTTAATCTCTCATTTCTTGCTTGTCAGGCTTATCTGTCGGATGAAGAATTCCAGACTGTATTTGGAATGGTAAAAGAAGCATTTTATAAATTGCCGAAATGGAAGAAAGACATGTTGAAAAAGAAATTTGAATTGTTCTAGAGTTGACATAATGAGCGACATATCTGCTTCTTTAGCTAATTACGTTTTTCCTCGGTTATTTTGAAATGCACTTATCAATTGGATAGTGTGTTTTAATGGTAAACCACTGGGATTCATATGAATAGTGTTTTGCTTTGGCTATAAATGATAGAGCTATGGGTGTCCAAGTTTGAATGTGACACTGCGTGGAGTGTGATTTTAAGTTCTCCTTTTAATTGCTGCTGCCTCATGGAATCTTTACATACTGTAGCATTGAAGACATTAGAAACTGGACAGATCCAAATTTTTTCATTTTGTAAGTTTGTATTATAAATATTTGGTTTTTTCTTCTTTTTATTGGTTAGAAAGGTGGGTGTATATGCATTGCATTTTGTTTTATATACTCAATCACAATAAAAGGAAAAACCGATTTTTTTTCCTTCTTATGTTGATGTTGTTATTTTTATTACTTTTTCACCAAATAACTATTTAAGGGTTGCTTTTCCACCCTTATGTTCTCTTTCCCTACCTTGAAAAGTGTTAAATGCCTACAGTATTTAGAGATGCATCTCCGAACGCACTTTTTTACACACTTCAAATGAAATTGTTGAGGAATTCTTATTTTGTTAAAATTTAGTCGGAGTTGCATCTCTACATGCTTTAAAGGTTAATTCTCGTAACGTCCATTAGTTTAATATTTAGTGAGCTTTTCGGATATGGATTTCCGGAATACGTTTTGTTAGTTCAAACCAGAAACACTAAAATGAATGGCAAAATAATTAAACAACATAAATTAACTTCAAAATAAACATTACATAGATAAAATTTAACGTTAACATTATATTTAATTATAATTCAGTGGTTTAGGACGTTGCAACATTCTTATAATATATCATTAGTCAGTATTACAATCATTGAGTCCATTTCAATAAGACTTTTGTTAAGTAGGTAAAAGGTTCTCCACATAATCTTTAAATCATTATTCGTCTCCGGTTCAAGCAATATGAATAGTATATTCCCTTCATTGTCTATCGATGGTGAACGGTACTCGAGCTTGACAACTCTCCGATTTTCTGAATATCGTTGGAAAGTATTCAGGTTAAATTTTAGATCATTGAGAAGTATATCCTCAAAGAACCTAAACTGAAGTGGGGGATTTGCACCAATAAAATACACAAATGCAAGATGGGATATAGATTCATTCTGGTTTTTGTAAATAATATGTAATAAGAGATCCTATTTATAGTTGTAGATCAATAAGGACCTTACAAACTCTATTATATAATTAGGATAAAATACGGAGAAGCATCTTCAAATCCGCTTTTTTTCTCCAAAAAATAAAGGTCTATTTAGAGATGAATATCCGGATAGTCTCCTGTTTTGTTTTTTTAGTAATTAAAAAGTGTATACCGAGATGCATCTCTAGATAAAAAATTATGCAATTCATAATAAAAAATTAGTGCGAAATTTAAAACACAATTTTTTTTTTTAAAATTACCACCAAATTTTATAACATTATGCAGTTTGTTGCATACAAAAAATGTGTTACATATGTCATTACCTAAAACTATTGGTGGTTCATTCTTCGACCTTTCCTTGCTTCTCTTTCAATGCCGTTCAACTTGGTGAAGTCTTCTATCCTTTCTAAAAATTGATTTACCTAAGTTCAACATCTTATGTGAAATGTGTCATCTGCTCCGGTGTTGTCTTTGGTATATGACATCCAGGTTTCAAATAAACCTAAACAAAATATATTTTTTTTATAGGCAATCAATAAACATGATGCGTTTGGATGGATTTTAAGGTGACTTAGTCTGAAGTTGAAAGAATTTTTTCGAGAAATCATATCGTGCTAAATCAATTCACACCCTATCATAAGTACTTGTTATAAGGTATTCCATTTTCAGTAAGTGCATCCATTTGTCAAATGGAGCCGGACTAGTAACACAAGAAACTAGAGCATTGAGAAATGCATCGTAATTTGATTTGTTTCCATATAACTTTGTGTATGACTCTGTATGCGTCTTCATATTTTGTATAAAATGACGACGAATAAATTGGTAGCCATCATCTCTCTTACCGAGCAAACCCGAAATAGCTTGAAAACCACAGTTGTCATCAAATTCAACATCTACAATTCGTTCAATGTATTTGTGCATAAAAAGCATCATCTATTCAATGTGTTTAATTTTTGTAACGACAGTGGAAGAGATAGTTTGCTAATGTGAACACCCTTAAAAACACTTTTTTGGGATTATGGAGTCGGAGAATCTGAAAAATATGAGTTAACATGTACAAAGTATGAATGAGAATGTCTCGTAGAGTTGTCATGTTGTATCAGTTTGACCTTTTTAGGGACACCCTTAGTTTTAACCGGTTTCGACGGTGGTTTTAAATCGTTTGTTTTTGGATAGGAAATCTTCCCCGGTTTCTCTTTGATGTGCAATTTCATTATGCCATAAGCTTTTATGAATCTCTCTTGGGTCACTTCCCACTCGATCATGATATATATGTTTAATTTATCATCTTTCATCACACCATCATCAAAACTAAGCATTTTCCAGTGAGTGCAAATTTCCTTCATGCGTATTGGTTTTTCAAGCTTCATCTTTTTTGAAATTAAACAAGCACATGGAAGATTATATGTCTTTTAAGTGTACATCCATATTTTGAGCTATTTGAACATGTCTTTAACTGCTCGCTTGCCTTCGTAAAAAATAAAATTCAATGTTGCTTGAGATATGTTGTCAACCAACTATGATTAAATAATGTTGTCTTTGAATCAGCGTTCTAACAAAGTAATGCTCCAACCAAAAAATCTTTGTATCTCATTGTGTTAGTTTTGGAGCATTTGGTTAACAATGTCCTATTCTCAACAAAAATCACATTTATTGTTTCCTAACCAATTCTTCAGTCTAGCATGTGCAGATTCAACTCTATTAGTTGTTGTATTTCCAAATTGTCGAACCTAATTCAACCATGCACAAACAATCTCCTCTTCAATCTGATCCAAAACAGTGCCCTCAACATATTTCAACAAATCTGTATATATCGCACACACACTCTTGAAATGTATTACAAATTCATCATATAATTCTTCTATGGAAGAATTTATTATAGAATTCAACGTATCCATTATATTTTCCACCACCACACCATATTTTGTTGGTTTGAATATAGAGTAATTTGTCTAGAAGAGGGGTTGAATAGACAATTAAAAATTCCTTCTTTTCAATTCAAAAATCAAATTACGGAAGCGGAAACGGGTATGGTGAAAATTTGTTTTGAAAATGTTTTATGATATTGGAAGAAGATTTATGCTATACATACACCAAAGGTTTGTAATGAGTTAAAATACAATGTAATGATTAATGGTTAAATTTTCAACGAGATGTTTAAGACTTTGACTATTCTTCAATTAAAAAGCAACTCTAATTTCAATTCTCACACAATAATTAAATAACAAGATCCTTTCAAAGAACAATTCTTATCAAACCTAAACTTTTGCAAATCAAGACTATGACCGCCCATCTAGGACCGAGTTCAGATAGTAATTTTCAAACCTGTATTACAAACGAGCTTTTTTGACCCAGTCCTAAAAAGCCCGAGGTCTGCCAGGGTCGGCCCGTTTAGGCTGGGAAGCCCATTATGACAACTCTAATTTGGTGCATCATAAGGTGGTGTAAGGTGTGTTCGGAGATGTATTTTGGGTTTTTCATAGAGTTTTTATCCACCCCATAAGGTGGGATAAGAAATTCTTTTTTTTTTTTTTTACTTTGAATCAATAGATGCACCAACTAACGTTTAATGCTAGATGATCCTCTAACCATGTGCCTAGAGGCACCACTTGAACTACCATTTTGTTCCATGTCCAATTTAAAATTTATCACCACTTGAATCAGTTCAGTTTCAATGATTTTAGGTATGGTGCACCTTAATGTTGTCAAACCACTTAATGCACTAGAGGATGGTGTGTTGAGAGTTCCTAAACCTGATATTTCATATGTTGATGTTAGGAAATAATTTACGACTGAACAATAATTTATGTTACATGATCACATGCCTAAATGGATCTAGGTGGAAGCTGCTAAATTAAATATTTTGGGAGAATTATCAAAAGGTCTCTAATTTTGATTCTGAAAGATATCAACATTTGTGTTGATGAGTTGTGAAAGAAAATGTGAGTATAAAGAACATCTCTAGAAGTTGAAACTTAATGACACAAGAAAAAGGAAACACATATGTCATTTTAAGTTGCAAGATTACTACATGCCAAAAAAATGTTTGGAAATCTAATTATGTGTATGGTGTACAAAACCATGGATTGAATCCCAGGTTATCCGATCATCCTATTATCAATTGCTTATGTTGTAGGGAGAAGGAAATGATTGTTCAAATGACAATGAAGATGGTTTTACCAAAAAAACGTATTCACTACTTTGAAACAAAAGATATTTTATGGTGTATATTAAGAAATTTTATAATGTTCGACACATAAATGACAAGGAAATAAGGTATCCAAATGTCGTACCTTAGAAAATATGATCTTCGCGATGCACAAAAAGGATTGCATGATCACAGATGAACTTAGAAGAGTCTCCATCAAACTTTATTTATTCCCACGAGGGGAAAGGGAAAACATCGAGAAAATCCACGGATGAAAAAGAATAAGATATGGTCTGAAAGTGAGAAAATACTTAGAGGGGGGGGGGGGGGAGGGGGTTGAATAAGTATATAGAAAAACTTAAGGCAATAAAAACTCAAGGATTTTTATCCTGGTTCGTTGAACTCAACTACTCCAGTCCATCCTATCAAGAGTGATTTGCCTTTCTCAACAAGGACTTAATCCACTATTAATCAACTGATTACAATAGCAAGCACTAAGAACAATTGTTCTTAGTCTTCTTAAGAACAACTGATCCCAACTGGATCTTCTTAAGGATCTTTTACAATCAAATGTAAGAATAAAACAAGTGTTTAAATGCTTCTAATTAAGCTATATCACAACTGTGATTTTACAC